ATACTGGAGTGGGTTTCTATGCCCTCCTCCAAGGGATCTTCCTAACCCTGGGATCAAACCTGCATCTCCTTTGTCTCCTGCATTGCAGGTGAGTTCTTTACCTGCTGAGCCACTTGGGGAAGCCCAAGTTATTTATATGTAAACTGAATCACTTTGCTGTATACCAAGAATTAACACAGCACTGTAAACCAACTATACTTCAATTAAAAATAAAAAGAGTCTTGAACAATGATTACCATAGGCAGGTAAAGGAGGCAAGGAAGAGAATTCTAGGAGAGAAGGAGAATAGGCAAATATTCAGAGGTTAAGACCAGCATACTTTGAAAAGTCAGAAGTAGTTTAGTGTCACTGGAGCATGGTGTATGCAGGAGGGAGGAGGAATGGAAACCACATCTGTAGTATGGAACAGTGTGACGAGGACTAAATAAGGAAGAACATCTGTGTCAAACAAGGAAGTTTATGCTTTATCTTGAGGGCAATGGAAAGGAGCCACTAAAAGTTTTAGGTAGGTATGGAGTCATAATCAGAGTTGCATTTTCAATGAACCACCCAGGAAGGAGTGCAGAAAACCCAGTTGGAGGGGGCAGAATTTCAACAGGGGAGATAAGCTGAGGCCAAAGCTCTAATCTGGGCATTTAAGGAGGCATGCATAAGGAATGGCAGTTGTACAAGAGAAAAGTATGCTGGTTAGAGGAATATTTAAAATAATAAATTAACAGATTCCGGTGAAAATTTAAATTTGGAAACTGAGGGAGAAAGAGAAGTCAAATATGATACCCACTCTGATTCTGCCCCTAAAATGATTGAGCAACCACTTAGTTGAGCTTTTTGTTGTTGTTTAGTTGCTAAGTCTTGTCCAGCTCTTTTGTGACTCAGGGACTGTAGCCACCAGGCTCCTCTGTCCGTGGGATTTCCCAGGCAAGAATACTGGAGTTGGTTGCCATTTCCTTCTCCAGGGGATCTTCCCTGCCTAGGGATCGAACCCATGTCTCTTATGTTGCAGGCAGATTCTTTACCACTGAGCCTCCAGGGAAGTTAAGTGAGCTTGGCTTTGGTCAAACCAAGGAGCATAGAAAGAAGATTGCATATGTCAGAAAAGACGATGTGTCTCCTAATAGGTACCTTTAGTTGAGGTCCCTTTGGGCTTCCAGGGAGAAGCATTTGATGGGTGCTTGAATATTTGACATGGAACTCATCACAGAGAAAGAAGCTGGAGATAGGGGCGTATATTTGGAAGTCTTCAGCGCTAGATAGTTAACTGGAGCCATGAAAGGAAGATGGAATCATCCAAGGGTAGAGAAAGAATGAGAAGAGGACCATGGACTGGACTCTGGGAGTCTTCATATACTTAGGCACAAACAGAGGAAGAGAACCAGCTGGAAAGGAGATAGGAAATCAGACGAGACTCATGGCCTGGAAACAAGGGGATGAAAACAAATGAGTAAGGAATGGTTATGCGGTACAAACTGCAAAAGACAGTTCAAGTGAAATAAAGGTAAATCATGGTCCATTGCAGATAGCGACAAAGCGGGGACTGATCTTTATGGTGGGACTGGTCTTAGTAGAGTGAGGTGGGGTAAGGGAGAGGGGAAGTGCAAGCAGAATACCTTTTGCAGTGGGTCAAAAAGGAGGAACTAGAAAGAGTGTGGAAGCTTCTTTTCCAAGACTTTCTCTTTCTCCTGGAAAGGGCACAAATTCTTCAGTTACACCATGTGTTCTGATTTGGGATTTGAAAGTGTGGTAACCGTACTTTAGGGCAGCCTGTGAATCCAAAGAATTAAATGATTTATGAAGAAGGAAAGGAGAGATTCCAGGAGTGCTGTCTGCATTGAAGGTTGTGAGCCATAAAGTCTGGAAAAAAAGATCTTGCCTGACTCTTATATTTGTAAAAAACTAGAAATGAATGTCCTGTGATAGAAACAAGAGGGAACTATTTATCGATCGTCTGTCATTTTGTAGTACTCAGGACTCCGTATCTAATCATCAGAACAGCCTATAAGGTAAAAGTATTGGCCCTGATGGCAAAAAAGTAAACTGGGCTTGGAGAGGTTTATTGTGTCTGGTCAGCCACCTGGCACACAGTGAAGTCGCTTTGTGATTGTTGAAACTGTATTTTCTTCATAGGCACCGAGACTAGGAGAGCAAGGATTTCTCTCTCTAAGAGAGGATATATGAGCCTGGAATTTTCATGAGAAAGAGGGAGACAGATCCACTAGGAACAGTTAATATATGATTCCCAAGCTGAAAGAGGGCAGACCACCATTTGGGAAAGAATTGATAAAACATACAAACTGAAACAAAGTCAGAACCAAAAAAGGCACCATGCAAGGTTAAAATTATGTGAATAATGATGTGCATTTGTTATTTTAATGTTTTCCAAGTGCATTTCATTTTGAATGATATACTCAGATAGCACACATGGTAAGGGATAATTGAAAAAATGTGCAGGAGAATGGCTGTATTCAAAGAATAAACATACAGCTGCGAGGAGGTTAGGAGTCAAAGGGGTAAGCATATGCCCCATCCCCCAGGGATCTCATTAGTGCATGAGTGACCATATATGTAGAGGCTAAATGAATCTCACTGTTTGCAAAGACCCACAGTAAATGAGACAATGACGAATCAATAGTAATTAGGCCAATAGATTCTTATTGACCCAGATGTCTGAAACCAAATGCCCTGCTCTGAGATTCCTTGAGAGACAAAAGATTTATAGACATGTGCTTTTTTTTTTAAAATCCCTTTACTCTAAGTGCAGTGATGTTTTTCTGAAGCTACAATTAATGCAGACTCTTGACTTCTAGGTGGAAAGGATGTTCTTATGGCCATTGTTGACCAGATGATTCTGTTGGACCAGGAGCAGAAAAGCTGGGAGATGTAAAAGCAGGGTACAGTCATATTCTCCCCAGATATGTGGTTCTGGCCTTGTCTTCTATGAAGACCTCAGAGGACCCTTGCCTAACACTATCATGCATGCACTTTACTCAGTCGCTTTAGTCATGTCCAACTGTATAGACTGTTGCAACCCTGTAGATTATAGCCCGCCAGTCTCCTCTGTCCATGGGATTCTCCAAACAAGAGTACTGGAGTGGATTTCCATGCCCTTTTCCAGGGGATCTTCCCAACTGAGGGGTCGAGACCGAGTATCCTACATCTCCTACATTTCAGGAAGATTCTTCACCACTAAGCCGCCAGGGAAGCCCAACACTATCATAGAATCACTCTAAAACAGAGCTTAAACTTGGGGCTTTGACAAGTAATTCCTGGCCAGAGATACAGAAAGCACATGGCTTCAGAATCACAGAGAGAGTTTAAGTTTGAACTTGGTCACATGTCTTCACTCCTTACACATTCCCTCTATAAGGGGTGTTACCGGTACCTGGCTCACTGGGTTGTGGTTGAAGGAGCAGCAGTTAATGTTGCTCTGGTTAGTAAGCCTTTTCCCAACAAGATCTTCATCTTCTGATAGAGGTTCAAAGATTTTTCCAAACGGGAATGAGATGTCAGGTCAAGGACCAAAGAGAGTGCCTGGTAAGGATGACTGCCCGCACCTCCGCCCAGCACACATCTCACAAACACCCACACACATACACACATTCTCACATACACATGCAAGTACTTACATAGATTAGTTTTGTTTTTCTGTATTTTCTATCTTGGAGTTCTACATAAAATTTATATACTGTAAGAGTTTGAAAACCACCACTTGTTTGTTTATTTCTTTATACTTAGTGTAAAAAATTTTCAGGAATTTCATAGGATCCAGAAAGATATTCAGTTTTGCAAAACTAGAACTAGGAACCGCTGAGCTGTACTCCTAAAACATTTTAAATGTAAATAATAAATGTTAGGTGTCTTATGTATCAGCATCCCTTGGTCATTGATCTCCTATACTTTTTTTTACTTGCCGTTATTCAAGCTGTGTTTTTATACTTTAAAGCTATGGTTCCAAGGGCAACAGTGGGTGATGACATGGGATACTAGTCCACTTTCTTCTAGAATTGTCAGTTCAAGAGAAGGAAGCACCTTTAAAGAGAGGACTGCTAACCAACTTTAATCTTTGTGTCATGCAATGAGATTTCACCCAGTAAGGTGAAATTTCCCACTCATTATATGTATGGGAAACTGAAGTTCAGAGAGGTTAAGTCACTGGCTTATGTCACCCAGTGAGAACAGGTAGAGCCAGGATCTCTGTCCTGGATGGTCTTGGATACAGATCCTGGTTCTGCCTGCCCTAAGCCCATCCTCCCAAGCCCAACCTCTTTGGCTCTCTCTCAAGTAAATAGACTGAGAGAATGAGAAAGGTCACCTGACTCTTTCATTCTACATATGAAGAAACTAAGCCTTAAAAAGAACAAGAACTAATGCATTGTCATTAGGTAGGTTTGGGTTGGAAATCAAGTCTCCCAGCTGTTGATCCCAACTGCATCCAGCCCATCCTATCACTGCTTTCAGCAAACTCCCATCCTGAGTCCGGGAACTTACATTTGTCTCCATATGTCAAATTATTATTGTTACAATTAGTAATACTGATTTTTAAAAATTCTTTACATATGTACAGCACTGTACAGTTTGCAAAATCATGTATCTTCACCTGCATAGTCTCCTTTGATCTTCACAATAATCCTATGAGGTCAGTTGGGCAGGAATTATAATGGCTTTTTTTACAGATGCCAAGAGAGTGATTCAGAAAGTTTGAATAACTTTTTCATGGTTACATACCTACTATGAAGAAAAGCCATTCTTGGATCTGGTCTTTTGCGTCCAGACCTTTCCACCTTCCACCAGGACACGCTTCCTGTCCTTGGTGAGAGCACAGTGTGGTCTGAGAGTGTGGTTTGCTGATGTCTGTAAGTTGGGGGTAATTTCTTTGCTGAAGCTTTTGGGACCCCACTTACTTTCTGGATCTGATGTGGGAGTACAAACAGTTTCTTTCTACAGAGCAGTTTGCTCCCTGACCCTAACCCCCCTTTTAAAAACAACATCCTCTTCTCTTCCAGACGCCAGAGTGTATATGCATATTTGAACAGTCACCTGGATCTGATTAAGAAGGCTCAGCCCGTGGGTTTCCTCACTGTTGATTTACATGTTTGGCCAGATTTCCATGGCAACCGGTCTCCCTTAGCAGATCTGACACTAAAGGGCATGGTAAGTAACAGTCAGTTCTTGCACGAAGGTGAAGGCGGGCCAAAGGGCTCCAGAGTTGGAAGAAGCAAAGCTGAGGAGAAGGAAAAAAGAGGAAATATAAACAAAACCGGCCAACAGCCCACTGGCTTCTTGCAGATGTACTGCTGTTGAGAGGGTTCTTGAAACTACATAGGACGATCTGCTGAAAGTTCTCATTGTTTCTGAGCCAAACTTGAGAGTGTTAAAAGCAGGATTTCTTGCTTGTAGCTACTGCTGCCTCTTTGTCCCATGGAGCAACTAGAAGTTGTGAGCCCCTGCCTATGCAATTTTTCTATTTACATCAGTTTGTGGAGTCATGTTTTCCATCTCCATCTCCAGGCTGCTGGATAAATAAGTGGTAAATATTACCACCCATGGTCTAGCTTGCCACAGCCACACATCTGCCTAGGCTCTGAGTCAGGGATGTTCAGAGTGTAGGCTAACATTATTAGAATTTCGGATAAACATTGGTAAAAGTCAAATAAAGTTAATAACTTATGTTAGTGGGTAAATTCAGCTGTTAGTGACCTTTAGACTCACTTTTAGTTCAGAGTTTTGGGGCTGGAGGTGCTAGCATGCCCTTGGTGGAAGTGCTCACAACCACCTAAGCTAAGAGATGGCCAAGCAAGATGGCTAAGAGTAGCTTAGCGCTAAGAATTGTGTTTGAGGATGGATAAAGCTAGGGAAAAAGAGATAAACTTCGGGTCCGAGAGGCCAGAAGAGACCACAAACAGGAAAAGAAGCCATGAATTCAGAATCCAGATGTCCCATTGAGAAGCAAAGTGTGAGGTGCCTTATGGCAGGGCTTTAGAATGGAAGCCGTAAGCAGTGCAAGCTTTATGCACTATGTGACAGAGGAGCAGGCCTGCTGGCTTGAGGAGCTTCAAGACTTAACAAGCTTTGGTTTTGTGGTTAATTCTATTAAGATTATTTTAAATATTTTTGTGTAGCCAACAGAAAGACCCAGTCTTTCCTTTCATTACCTATTTGACACAGTCAACTTCTGTGTATGAAAGGGAGTCATGATAGAAAAGAACATTGGACATAGCGAGGGCAATGTCTGTCTGGAGTCCGTGAAGCATGCCCATTCAAAAACTAATGAACTTGGCCTCCTATTTGGCCCATGGAGACAGAAGAGGAACGTCCAGAGAGGTCCAGGTGTCCTAGGCTACAGCTGGAAAGTCGTACTTTCAGATGGCTGACTTTCTGGGTACAAACAGAACTTAAGGGAAGGGCACATTTTGTATGAATACAAAAATCCATGTCTTAGAGACAAATATCTAAAGCAAAATATAGGAGACACTTAAAGTGTTAAAGAAGGGTCTTCCCTAGCAGTTCAGTGGGTAAGACTCCATGCGTCCACTACAGGGGACCCAGGCTCAATCCCTGGTTGGGGAACTGAAATGCCACATGTCACATGACACAACCCCCCCAAAAAAAATGAATGAATGAAAAACTGGAAACAAAGAAATAAAAATTAAAACTTTTAAAAAATGTTAAAGAAGTTAAGAAGGATGACTGGTTCATAAAATTACCCCCCCCCCCCCAGAAAAGCAGGGTTGTGTCATAAAATGATCGTGGCTCTGAAGTCCAGGGCTTGAATCCAGAGTCCTTCCCTTAGGGACCTTACCTTGCGACACCTGCTCTACCCGCTCACCACCCAGCATGGCAGGTGCCATGGGCTTTGTCAAAGCCCTTTTCCCAAGGGCTTTGTCTGTTTCTTAAAACCAACCCTGACATCCAGAGACTTAGGAATTGCCATCATCAGGATTCCAATAAAGTTAGCTCAAACACAGAATGGGATTCCAAACAAGCCAATGAGTGCTTTGAAGAGCGTCTGTCTTATTAGATTAAGTACAAATAGCTGTGTACTCACCAAAGGCGATGTCTTGCATGGGGACATATGCCCAACTGTATTAAAAAATCCTGCTACATTTTTAGAGATATGATCTTTCTTTCTGTTGAAGCAGTATATGAATACAGGTTTGTTTGTTGATGTATTTAATGTCTTGGCCATGCAGTGCAGCATATGGGGTATTAGTTCCTGACCTGGGATTGAACCTGCACCCCCTACACTGGAAGCACAGTCTTAACCACTGGACCGCGAGGGAAGTCCCTGTATTTACTTTTTTAGAAATTTTATTGTTCTATAAACATACTTCACACTTCACCTGATGTTTCTTAGCAGGGATTTCCCTTCACAATTGCCCTTGGGTTGGCCTTACCTTTGAATAGCTGTCATTCTATGAATGTACCTCACAAAACTGGAAGGAGAAGATGACCTAGATAAGGTACAAGAAAGGAAATTCTAGGCTAGAAATTTCTCCTCAAATCTCATTTTTTTTTAATTTATTTCATGTTGGAGTATAGCTGATTTAAAATGCTGTGTTAGTTTCAGGTGTACAACAAAGTGATTCAGTTATACATATACATATATCTATTCTTTTTCAGATTCTTTTTCCATATAGGTTGTTACAGAACATTAAGTAGAGTTCTCTGCACTGTACAGTAGGTCCTTGTGGATTATTTTATATATAGTAGTGTATATATGTTAATTCCCAGACTCCTAATTCATCCCTCCCCAACACCTTTCCACTTTGATAACCATAAGTTTGTTTTTGAAGCCTGTGAGTCTGTTTTACAAATAAATTCATTTGTATTATTTTTTTGGATTCCACATATAAGTAATGTCATTGATATTTGTCTTTCTCTGTCCAACTTCTGTCACTTTTTTTAGCATGATAACCTCTAGGCCCATCCATGTTGCTTCAAATGGTATTATTTCATTCTTTTGGATGGCTGAGTAATATTCCATTGTATATATGTGCCTCATCTTCTTTGTCCATTCAGCATGGACAAAAAAAATGTTCTGTCAGTGAACATTTCAGTTGCTTCCATGTCTTGGCCATTGTAAATAGTGCTGCAATGAATGTTTGGGTGCCTGAATCTTTTAAAATTATGGTTTTCTCCAAGTATTTGCCCAGTGGTGAGATTGAAGTATCACATGGTAGTTCTGTTTTTAGTTTTCTTAAGAAACCTCCATACTGTTCTCCGTAGTGGCTGTACCAACTTACATTTCCGCCAACAATGTAGTAGGGTTCCCTTTTCTCCACACACTCTGTAGCATTTTTATTTGTAGAGTTTTTGATTATGGCCATTCTGACTGATGAGGTGATGACTCATTGCATTTTGATTTGAATTTCTCTAATAATCACAAAGAATCAGACATGACTTAGCAACTGAACAACAACAACAACAAATAATAATTAGTAGTGTTGAGCATCTTTTCATGTACTTTTTGGTCATCTCTATGTCTTTTTAGGGAAATATCTATTTAGATGTTTTGCCCATTTTTGATTAGGTTGTCTGGTTTTTTAGATTGAGATGCATGAACTGCTTATGTATTTTGGAGGTTAACCCCTTGTCAGCTACTTCATTTGCAAATATTTTCTCCAATTCTGTGGGCTGTCTTTTTGTTTTGTTTATGGTTTCCTTTTCTGTGAAAAAGCTTCTAAGTTTAATTAGGTCCCATTTGTTTATTTTTGTTTTTATTTTCATTAGTCTAAGAGATGGATCCAGGACGATGTTGCTGTTATTTATGTCAAAGAGTTTTCTGTCTGTTTTCTTCTAGGAGTTTTATAGTATCTGGTCGTATATTTAAGTCTTTAATCCATTTCAAGCTTATTTTTTGTATGGTATTGGAGAATGTTCTAATTTATTCTTTTACATATAGCTATCCAGTTTCCACAGCAGCACTTATTGAAGAGACTGTCTTTTCTCCATTGTATATCCTTTCCTCTTTTGTCATAGAATAATTGAACATAGATGTGGGGGTTTATTTCTGAGCTTTCCATCCTGCTCCATTGATCTGTATTTCTGTTGGGTCAGTACTATACTACTTTGATTACTGTAACTTTGTAATATAGTCTGAGGTCAGGATGGATGAGTCTTCCAGTTCTAGTCTACTTTAAGATTCTTTTGGCTATTCAGAGTCTTTTGTGTTTCCATACACATTTTTAAGTTTTTTTTTTACCTAATTCTTTGAAAATTGCCAATTTGATACGGATTGCATTGATTCTGTAGATTGCTTTGGGTAGTATAGTCATTTTGACAATATTAATTCTTCCAATTCAAGAACATAGTATATCTTTTCATCTGTTTGTATCATCTTCAGTTTTTTTCATCAGTGTCTTATAGCTTTCAGAGTACAGGTCTTTTGCCTCCCTCCTTAGGTAGGTTTATTCCTAGGTATTTTATTTTTTTTGATGTGGTGGTAAATGAGATTGTTTCCCTCTGATCTTTCATTGTTAGTGTATAGAAATGCAACAGATTTTTGCATATTCTTTTGTTTCCTTCAACTTCGCTGAATTCATTGATGAGCTCTAGTAGTTTTCTGATAGCATCTTTAGGATTTTCTATGTACAGTGTCATGTAATCTGCAAACAGTACCGGTTTTACTTCTTCTTTTCCAGTTTGGATTCCTTTTATTTCTTTTTTCTTCTCTGATTGCCATGGCTAGGATGTCTAAAATTATGTTGAATAAAAGTGTCGAGAATAGACACACTTGTCTTGTTCCTAATCTTAGAGGAAATGCTTTTAGTTTTTCACCATTGAGTATGATGTTAGCTGTGAGTTTGTCATATATGGCCTTTATTATGTTGAGATAGTTTTCTTTTGTGCCCACTTTCTGGAGAGTTTTTAATCATAAATAGGTGTCGAATTTTGTTGAAAAGTTTTTATGCAACTATTGACATGATCATATGGTTTTTATTCTTCAATTTGTATCACATTTGTATCAGTTTTCAAAGAACTAGATTAATTTGTATATATTGAAAAATCCTTGCATCCTGGGAATAAAACTTACTTGGTCATGGTGTGTGGTCCTTTTGATGTGTTGTTGGATCCAGCTTGCTAGTATTTTCTTGAGAATTTTTGTATCTATGTTCAAATCTCTTTCCCTCAGTCCAGTTTTGGATAACATC